TTTATAACAAGCTCTGAAATTTTGAACCACAATATGGCATATACTAAAGCATGGAATGGAGATTAGTATGAAAAATCTTGTGTTTGTGCTTATGTTGTAAATTTTGGATGAAATGAATACAAATTGAATGGAACTGTTATTTTTATCTGTTTAAATGGAACTGTTTATTATTCTTTTTAAATAAGATAAGATATGATTGGATACAGGTTGTTTATTAAGCCTTATCTGAAAGAAGTAGAGAAAGAGGTAAACCAGCATGTAGGGGTGGGGACATTAAATGATCCATGTTTCTTTAAGTAATGGGAACATACAAGTATTTATTATAGCCAAGGTTTTCACAATAACCCAGTATTGCATTAATGGTGTCATAAGAATTCTTTATATCTTTATGTCACAGTATAGGGAAAACGGTACTATTACATTTTCCCAGCATTAGGTTGGCCTTTTGTGTACCCAAGGCAGGTGAAGGAAGTCAACTTAGGAGCGCTTTGATTGGATGTTAGGGTACAATATATTTTTTTTATTTATCTATGAATAACTGCAGTGTGTATATTTACAATATAAATTTTGAAACCTATTGAAATATTTTCTAGAGAATTATTCTAAAAGACTTCAAAAATTTCATAAATTTGGTGTAAAATGATGGTGGGCATGGATAACATTAACAAGCTCCATTGGAAGTTGGTCATGATACTATTTGGCTTCAATTTTCAAAACAGAATAATAAAGTACTAACACTACACATAACTGTTTTATCGGGGTTTTTATTATAAAAAGTGGTAAATTTAGAAAATGTAAGTATTGTCGCCTATGGCAGAATAAATAGTACCGTTTTCCCTATACTGAAGATAGCAAGGGAAATCAAAATCAATCAGACTTCAGTTAAAGTATACTATTTTGAAGCTTTTGGTTAGTACATTTGATTTTTATCACAAAGAATAGAATTTTTTCACTGAGAACAATACTGTGTTGAGAAAAGTGCTGAGTCATCATAATAAGTCAAATTGATGGGTATTGATATAAAACTTTATTCTAGGATTTCAATATTAACTATATTGTATAAAATGCACCAAACTATAGTTCTTTTGTATTTGTTTTCACCTTTCGCAATGATTAATTCAATTGGAAACACCAGAATTCAAGTCGCGACAAATATTTTTAACTGAAATATTTGCCTTTTTTGCTGTGTAATTCCCTAAATGTATCACTTGGGTACTTCTGTAGACATAATCTATTAAAATGGGAAATTGTCTGGTTAAGTTTGTACTGTTTATGGAGTAAGGCAATATTTGGTCATACTAGAAGCATTTTCAGTGTTAAAATTGTCCATCTAAGAAAAAAAGAGGCCCACTTGAGGCTAAATTTAGATAGAATTTATACTCTCCTGTGTAAAGAATTGGTCATATTCTTGGCAATTCATGCAGCAAATATTTCAATAGTGCTTCATTTTGTAGTTTCTATCTTTTATTATATCAGGCATATATAATTTTTCATTTTCTACTGTTTGAAAGGACTTTTGTTGGAAATTAATACTCCCAAGGGACATAATTCAGCTTTTTCATAGATTAATACAGGCAACAAAGGCAACTTTACAGCTGAATATTTTGCATATCTATTGTTGAAAGTGTCTAATATCTTTGTTTTCATCATCTCAAGACAGAATAATGGATTTTATAACAAGCTCTGAAATTTTGAACCACAATATGGCATATACTAAAGCATGGAATGGAGATTAGTATGAAAAATCTTGTGTTTGTGCTTATGTTGTAAATTTTGGATGAAATGAATACAAATTGAATGGAACTGTTATTTTTATCTGTTTAAATGGAACTGTTTATTATTCTTTTTAAATAAGATAAGATATGATTGGATACAGGTTGTTTATTAAGCCTTATCTGAAAGAAGTAGAGAAAGAGGTAAACCAGCATGTAGGGGTGGGGACATTAAATGATCCATGTTTCTTTAAGTAATGGGAACATACAAGTATTTATTATAGCCAAGGTTTTCACAATAACCCAGTATTGCATTAATGGTGTCATAAGAATTCTTTATATCTTTATGTCACAGTATAGGGAAAACGGTACTATTACATTTTCCCAGCATTAGGTTGGCCTTTTGTGTACCCAAGGCAGGTGAAGGAAGTCAACTTAGGAGCGCTTTGATTGGATGTTAGGGTACAATATATTTTTTTTATTTATCTATGAATAACTGCAGTGTGTATATTTACAATATAAATTTTGAAACCTATTGAAATATTTTCTAGAGAATTATTCTAAAAGACTTCAAAAATTTCATAAATTTGGTGTAAAATGATGGTGGGCATGGATAACATTAACAAGCTCCATTGGAAGTTGGTCATGATACTATTTGGCTTCAATTTTCAAAACAGAATAATAAAGTACTAACACTACACATAACTGTTTTATCGGGGTTTTTATTATAAAAAGTGGTAAATTTAGAAAATGTAAGTATTGTCGCCTATGGCAGAATAAATAGTACCGTTTTCCCTATACTGAAGATAGCAAGGGAAATCAAAATCAATCAGACTTCAGTTAAAGTATACTATTTTGAAGCTTTTGGTTAGTACATATGATTTTTATCACAAAGAATAGAATTTTTTCACTGAGAACAATACTGTGTTGAGAAAAGTGCTGAGTCATCATAATAAGTCAAATTGATGGGTATTGATATAAAACTTTATTCTAGGATTTCAATATTAACTATATTGTATAAAATGCACCAAACTATAGTTCTTTTGTATTTGTTTTCACCTTTCGCAATGATTAATTCAATTGGAAACACCAGAATTCAAGTCGCGACAAATATTTTTAACTGAAATATTTGCCTTTTTTGCTGTGTAATTCCCTAAATGTATCACTTGGGTACTTCTGTAGACATAATCTATTAAAATGGGAAATTGTCTGGTTAAGTTTGTACTGTTTATGGAGTAAGGCAATATTTGGTCATACTAGAAGCATTTTCAGTGTTAAAATTGTCCATCTAAGAAAAAAAGAGGCCCACTTGAGGCTAAATTTAGATAGAATTTATACTCTCCTGTGTAAAGAATTGGTCATATTCTTGGCAATTCATGCAGCAAATATTTCAATAGTGCTTCATTTTGTAGTTTCTATCTTTTATTATATCAGGCATATATAATTTTTCATTTTCTACTGTTTGAAAGGACTTTTGTTGGAAATTAATACTCCCAAGGGACATAATTCAGCTTTTTCATAGATTAATACAGGCAACAAAGGCAACTTTACAGCTGAATATTTTGCATATCTATTGTTGAAAGTGTCTAATATCTTTGTTTTCATCATCTCAAGACAGAATAATGGATTTTATAACAAGCTCTGAAATTTTGAACCACAATATGGCATATACTAAAGCATGGAATGGAGATTAGTATGAAAAATCTTGTGTTTGTGCTTATGTTGTAAATTTTGGATGAAATGAATACAAATTGAATGGAACTGTTATTTTTATCTGTTTAAATGGAACTGTTTATTATTCTTTTTAAATAAGATAAGATATGATTGGATACAGGTTGTTTATTAAGCCTTATCTGAAAGAAGTAGAGAAAGAGGTAAACCAGCATGTAGGGGTGGGGACATTAAATGATCCATGTTTCTTTAAGTAATGGGAACATACAAGTATTTATTATAGCCAAGGTTTTCACAATAACCCAGTATTGCATTAATGGTGTCATAAGAATTCTTTATATCTTTATGTCACAGTATAGGGAAAACGGTACTATTACATTTTCCCAGCATTAGGTTGGCCTTTTGTGTACCCAAGGCAGGTGAAGGAAGTCAACTTAGGAGCGCTTTGATTGGATGTTAGGGTACAATATATTTTTTTTATTTATCTATGAATAACTGCAGTGTGTATATTTACAATATAAATTTTGAAACCTATTGAAATATTTTCTAGAGAATTATTCTAAAAGACTTCAAAAATTTCATAAATTTGGTGTAAAATGATGGTGGGCATGGATAACATTAACAAGCTCCATTGGAAGTTGGTCATGATACTATTTGGCTTCAATTTTCAAAACAGAATAATAAAGTACTAACACTACACATAACTGTTTTATCGGGGTTTTTATTATAAAAAGTGGTAAATTTAGAAAATGTAAGTATTGTCGCCTATGGCAGAATAAATAGTACCGTTTTCCCTTTAAGTTTATCAAATGATTCAAAACTTGATCTGATAGCGGAGAAATGAAAAAAAATATTTACGGACCTGACTCCATTTCCTTTTTTTCCCAAAGTATTTAATTCAAATCTTGATTTTGTTATATAAAAAAAATATTATACTATCAAAGCAAAAAACCTGATTGAACCTGGATATAAAGTTATAATTCAACATAGCTTATTAACATTTGCATTTTAATTCAAGAAGAGTCAAAAGTAGCTTATGATAAAAAATATTTAGTTTTAATGAAAATTAGCAGTTACTAACATACATTGGCGTTTTTATCAATTATGCATTATTACATAATTAAACACAGTTTTGAAAACACAATCAATTATATAACAAGGTTATTAATTGTCATGTAATAACACATATACAAAATGATTTTATCAATCTAAAAAGTCATATCATTTTAATGTTTAGGTCGTGTGACAAGATTATATGATAATCCAATTAAAAGATTAAAATGGAATGTTTATTTAGATCAATTATCCAATTATCAGCTAATACAAAGTGAAATACAGCCGACACATGTAACATGAGATAGGATAAGAAAAAAATATTTATATTCGGCATAAGTCAAAATACAAGTTCTAAGCAGCTTTTGACAGAAAACAAACAAACAAATGCATAACATAAAAACAGTCTATTGTCTAAGGGAACAGTCATTATTTACCAGCTAGGGGGGTTGGGTAATTTTTGGGGGGTCAAAATATTTTTGATGATCATATTGGGGGGGTCAAAAAAATGTTCCAATATTAAATGGGGGGGGTCAAATTTTTTCAAACAGTATTTTCAAATTATATGTTCTCCTTTCCTGACACTGTGGAATTCCTTTTTATAATTGTTATCTGTTTTCATGTATACACACTTCTCATGTTAAATAAGTGCAGATGTCGAGATAATTGGATTTATAGCATCAATGACTAGCACCAGTGGATATACCACATGGGAAGTTAAATAGATATAAATTGGTTTGACAAATATCTGATGTATTTATGACTGGTTTAAACTGCATCAAAAATAAATACTGACATCTGATTAGTATTAGATAAGTGTGATACAATCAAGCCATAATCTTTGCCTAATGATATTTTAATCTAAATGTCTCACCCTTTTTATACATAATAGAGCTTGAAATAGTGACCTATTCCAGCTGCCCATCCCTACTACTCAATTACATAGTAAGTGGCCTCTTTGGGAGATAATATTGACTTTTAGCAATTTGTTTATCAACACAGTCTTATTTTAATTAAAGATGGATAGAGAAAAGAAGGAAAATGCTAAAATATTTCAACGTAAAACTTATAGAGAAAAACGATCTTTAAAAAGAAAACTTCAAACAAAATATAGTGAAAATAATATTCGGATTTCTCTTCAAACATGCTCTACAATTTTTGAAAATCGACAAAAATTAAATGGATACATGTATGAAGCACAAAACTGTAAGTTTGATTTTCGTTCTCTGCTGGGATTACTTGCTATTTTAGATCATCTAGAGTGCAGCACACTTATAGAATTCCAAGATGCTTTTGAGATTTATTCATCTTTCTTTGAACATCAACCAGATAAAAATGTTTTTCGGGACAAGATATTGGATGTTGATAAAGGACTAGTTTGCTGTTATTTCATGCACCCTTTTGATAAAGTAACATACATTTCTTTGCGGACACCGGATGTACCAGTGGAAAGAATTATATTTCAAATATTTACATCCATTCCCGAAAAAGGTGAAATCATTCCCACTTTTTCAGCAGAGACAGTTGAAAAGATTTTGCATTCTATGGACTCAGAATATGATAAACAGTGTGCAAAAGCTTTACTTGTATCAGCTAATTCAACTGACATGGAGCTTTATTCCTTTGGCATCAACCCACAAACAGCAAAAAAACATATAGAAAGAATAAAAAATATTACTGAAGAATGTGATAATGCATTAAATGCGGCAAAGGACGTTGTAAACTTACGTTTAGATGAAAAAATTCAAACCTTAAAAACAAAAAGTGCTACATTGAAAGTCCAAATTGACAAACTATCAGGAGGTGATCATCAAGTTCATTTGATAAACGAAATGCAAGAGGAAAAAGACGATCTTGACATTTCCATTCATGAACAAACAAAAATAAAAGAAAAGCAAAACATATATTATAAACAAAGATATAACCAGGCAGTAAAAAGGACGGCAAAGAGTTTAATTGATGACAACAGAATTAAGAAAAGGAAGTTAGGAGCTGGTCCGAAGGAAAAAATTGACGAAGAAGACGAGGATTTTTTACTGAATTGCATAGAGTCCAAAGCAACGGCACATGGTAGAAGGCATGATTCTGTATTATATTTGAATCATTCAGTCAGAAAAAGGGATTTTAAAAACATTGTGAACCATTTTCGTATATCTCAAGGAAAGCAAACCATTAAGTCTAGTACAACTGTATACAATAGGGGTAGACCTAAAAATACTAGAACCTTGCAAGCTAAGAAGCATAAAGGCAAATGGCTATTCTCATCTAAAAAACCAACTAAATCTGAAGAAAAGAATATAATTCATACAAAGCACCAAAGAGCTCATGTAAAACGTGCAGTTATCCATTTATGTAAAGAAGACCAGGATTTAGCTTTGATACACAGCATGGATGACAAAGCATACCTCAAACCAGAAGCATCAGATGGGTTAGATAAGTTTAAAGTGTTTCAAACTACAGACTCTGATAAACAGCGAAAGCTACCAAAGTATGACTTTGCTCAAGCTAAATTAAACATCACACCTAGTAGCCATAGGTTTATCATGAAGGACATCACCTATGTTGACAATAACCTTGAAATGGTAATGAGTGAAGATGAAAACATTTGTGTGTTTAGACCTAAATTCTATATTGGCAGTTCAGGAACTGTATGGGCCTCTGAGGATCGTAAACTCCGATATGAAAAGCCCCAATTATACGAAAGGAAGGCTGAAACTACGCAGCTATCCAATGAATTCCACAGCATAGCCGCTCTTATTAGGGACAAAGCAAAACATTATTCCCTGCAGAATGTTTTGGAAGATGTTAATAGAGTAACAGCTAACAGGGACTGTCCATTCAAAGCGTTTGAGCAAATTAAACTGGATTCTCTATTTTTACATATAGAACAGGCTTTAAAACTGTTAAATATTTTCAATTTGCCAGAAAAAAATGCATATGAAAAGCAATGCTATATGAAGCTGTATGATATAACTAAAACCATTCATACAAGAATAGAAAGTACAAAGGAACAATTAGGGGATATCGAAACAAGTGAAGATGTGCAGGAACTTATAGAAAATGTTGCTCATTCATGCACTCAATTGCTCAACATGCTGAATGAGTTTGAGCTCAGGAAAACAAAACCAAGGGTTTTAGAACTTACAGATGGAGGTCCAGGTGTTGGAAAATCAAATAGGGACGTTCGCTTTAGAGCAGCAGAAAAGGTTTTAATAGATAATCTTGATTTTTATACTAGGATTCACAGGGCAACTGGTGACTGCCAGAATGAGGTGGAAAGAACACAAGCAGCAGTTGGAAAAGCCATTTCTGATGGAGGTTCTATCCACTGGGAATATAAACAGCTGGACATTGAAGATAATGATATTAAACAAATGACAATAGACGAAATTGAAAAAACTGAAGATGATATTAATAAATTTAATGTGACTCAAACATGCAAGGATTTAGCTATGAGAGTTGAGAATTCCCCTGGTCCAAGGGGTGGATTTATGACAGGGCTAGTAGTGGGATGTGATAAAGAGCAATTATATTTTAACGATGAAACAGCTCTTAAATGTTATTTGGATACTGCACCATCAAAACGACAAGACGTACCTGGCTATCATTATTTTCAGAAGGTTTCTAAGTTTTATGATACACATTTTACAGAAGGGGAACTTTACATGGAATTTGTTAGATTTAACTGTGAAGAAACAACCAATCAAATTTGTGAAATTTGCCAAACAGGATGGTCAGGAAAACCTATTTCAACGGTTCCAAGGCCTTATCCTGGTAACAACTTTCAATATAAAAAGTATGAAGATACTCCAATTGAAATTAATGGCAAAAGAAGAAAACCGGACGACTTTCAGCCTAGATGTCAAGTTCGTATCTTGCATAATGAAGGAAAAATCAAGTCGGATATGTCGAATGAAATTCAGTCATTTGCAGAAAAGCATGCTGTTGAAGATTCTTCTTTGATTAAGGCCGAATTACACCATATTGAGCTTATAAAATTCAAACGAGAAAAAAGATCAGAATTCAGAAAACTTAAGACTCAGTTCGAAAAAAGTAAAAAAATTGATGACTATGACTGGACAGATTTACATTTAAAAGGGAAAATTAAGGATTTAAGTGTAAATTTGTTAGCAATGTATATATCTGAGAAGAAGCTTTGTAATCCTATTCCACGGAAAAAATCTGAAAAAATTTCACTTGTAGAGGCACATCTTTCAAGACAGAGGGCAATAAACAATTTTAAGAAATCTGACAAAAGAATCTTGAGACAGCAAAATGATATCCCTGACACTGATGATGATGATGTAATGTCAGATGTTTCAGAGGAAGATTTGATAATAAGGGAAATTGGGTCTGACAGGGATGAAAGTGGTGATGAAGAATTAATAAGACCACCTGCTGAAAAAGTAAATAGATATGGAAGGGTAACATCTCATTGGAAACAAAGAAAATTCTTTGGGGACTCTGATTCAGACAGTGAATAAGGATGTTTATTGTGTGAGAAAAAACTTGGATGTACAGTATATATTTCAGTAATAACATTTTGGATATTTATTTTAATTTGTTGTACATAGACAATTTTGGATTTGTATGAAAAGATGAGCTGAGGATTGCAGATATTTTCAATTTTATCACAACAAAAGGCTGTTGATATATGAAAATATGGATATTAACATGTAAGTATATTATTTTATATCATCTTTATATCTAAAAATTGATGTTAAGTATTTATCTTTAAATTCTCTATTGTAAAACATGTATGATAACAAAACCATCATTATCCTAGTATTAAATATGGTGTGAACTTTCTGACTTTCCGGTCATAATTGATTTTCAATCATCATTGTGTTGGCTATAAAAATATATTAAGTGCATGCAATATTTTAATTTATTTTTATGAACAGAGAAATAATCAAATTTATAGATTTCAAAGTCATAGGGCTTTTAATTATGTTCTATAGTATTTAAAACACAATTATAATTCACTTTTACTTAAAACATTCCAGATGTGACCAGTGTGAGGAGGAGAAAGCTGACAGAAAGTGTTTTGATTGCAATTTACTATACTGCAATAGTTGCTCCAATTTAATTCACAACAAGGTAAATGAAAACTGTTTTAAAATATGTACTTAGAATATTTTTTTTAAATATATTTTTGTATTAATTCCAATACCTTAAATTGAAATTTAAACAAATATTCTATAAACACCTGATTAAATAATTGTTATGCTGAACCTTTTATATTTTAATGTATTTTTTTTTAACAGTTAATTCCAATGCTTATGTATTTTTGCTTTGTTTTTTAGGGAAAATTGCAGTCACACAGATTAGGAGAAGTAACGGAAAAATGCCAGAAATTTTGTCAGAATTGCGATGAAAATGAAGTGCAAATATTTTGTGAAGATTGTGATCTGAGTAAGTGAAGGATATTTATCTACTTGTTAAAAGAAATTAATGATTCAGTCCCAGCTGTGTGTAATTGGCTTGATGTCCTGAAGTCAGTGATCTTTGTAATTGATTTTATCTACATGCATATTTACACCAAAATAAAAATAATAAAATACAAGACACATCATTTTATAACTACATAAAAATATTGAACAAAAGAAACTTAAAGACACAATCAATTATCTAGAATAATCCATAAAATTGAAAACCAGACCTCAATAGTAATAAAACTACATATACAATAATAATGTATTGAGATATCATTAAAATATATAATAATATATAATATTTTTTTTTTAGATTACTGCTTAACATGTTCCGATAAATTTCATAAAAAGGGAAAGCTGGTATTACACACACGACAACAGGTTAATTCTAAAGAAATTCCGTCAATTAAAGGAAAAAAAGAATGGGAGAATACAACATATGGTTGGTATCCAGTTCCAAAGAGTGAAAAATGTGAATTTTTCAATAGACTTTTACCAGATTTTTACCAGAATGCATGGAAATATATGAGTGATCCTTATATATTTAAAAAGTCTTTTGTGACAGAAGCTACCAGACAATGGGATATACAATCAAGAATGAAAAAACTTGAAGGTTCAGTGAACTTTATACTAGGGACCAATCCAAATGCAGTTGGTAGTTTTATACATGGAGAAATTCTAAAACCTGGACAAAATAAAATTCTTGATAACAACATTAAAAAATTGAATACAAATTATGCGTCCTTGGATGAACTTAAAGTTGAAGTTAAAGACAACGAATGTGAAATTTATGACCAAACTGGGCGTACTTTGCTCAAAGAACAATTTACAGTCCAACATGCTTTTAATCTACAAATGCTCATCTTGTTATCACAACTTCATGATTATGATTAAAGAAGTGTTGCAGAAGTGTGACAAATTACGTCAGAAATATATCCAATTATTTGGAGGCAAGGGGAGAGTAGGCAGAACAGAAATTGGAATTAGGAGAAAAAAAACTGGACATAACCGTAGGAAAGCTATAAAGCGAAATTTAAAACATCTATTTAAGCAGTGTAGTGTTTTAACGAAAGAATTGTGTCCGAATCTAACAGTTTCAAATGATGAATTTTCATTTACTTCCAACATCAATGGATTACAAGACATTTGTAAAAATAAAGTTGAGAATGAAACAAATAACTTTGATATTGATCAAGTTTGTAAGATAGGGGTAAAATTTGCAAAAGCTCTCTTTGTTTTATTTGAAAAAAATGTTTTCACACACACAGCCAAGTGCCTAATTCTTGAAAATGTATGTGAAAGTGTTGAAGAGAGATACTGGGCGTTGTATGAAAGCAGTCATGAATGTTGGAGACAGGGAGATTGTCAAGATGAAAGTGAGAGAGATTCAGATGAAAGTGAAAGTAATAGAGAAGTGAGTGATTATATGGAAGATGTGAGTGAAAGTGGTGAAGAAGTACTACAAGAATAAGTTAGTCATTTTTAGTGTATATATCTAAAACTTGTGTAAATATGTTTATAAGTGCATGTTTTCATCTTACAATAAAACTATGCTGTAAATTAAATGGTTTAAATCATTGATAAATAATAGCACAAGATGGGGGGGTCAAAGTTTTTTATAACCAACATTTGGGGGGGTCATTTTTAAATTTATGATATGACTGGGGGGTACATGTTTATTTTGTTCATTTCACTAAAAAATTCCCCAACCCCCCCAGCTGGTAAATAATGACTGTTCCCTAAGATATAAACAACCTGTAATTATTACAAAGTTGAATGATCCATCTCACACATAGCGCTTGCAAAAAAACTGAATAAGAAGCAATTTTAAGATGAAGTAAAGCATGGTTTATCTATTTAAAAGTTTAAAATCTGCATTAAATATGGTAACTTTTAAAATGAATAGATTACTTTTATGTTTAAAAATCATATTAAAAACTTGGAACTTCGAGATCTAGAAATTACAAAAAAATACGGATTTGGAAAAAGGGGGAGAGCTAAAACAACTTGTCCTTTCCACAGGTAACTTGTCTAAGGGAAAAAAAATCCCAAATACATTAAGTGTTATATTAGGTTTACAGGAAATTCTTTTCTGAGACACGTGCCTGTGTCTATATTTTTAAAACTCGGAAGTTCTCCATCTTCTGTTTCGTTTTGCTAAAATTTTCTAAATTTTAACATCAGCAACAGATGAGGAGGCAGTTTTGATTTTATCTGCAGAAGTACAAAACAGTCGAAGAAGCTTATAATGTTGCTATATTTTCCTGATATCTGTAAATTGGTACTTTTGTATACTTTTATTTATATTTAATCAAGTACGTTTATGACATGTCATGATGTTCAGATGTCAGAGAACCCCTTTTGGCATTCTGTAACGATGCGAAAATTTCTGATTTAGGTATCCCCTCCTTTGTCGAATGAGACACAAAGGACAGAGAACTGATAATTTTTCTTGTGTATGCTGAGTGTCATATGTTTTTATGTATTATATTGCAATGTACTTTGTATATACATGTACCTTATTGCTATTTATCACCATTATACAGATAATACCTGCTAAATAGATTAAAACGGTACTTGCCTCGCAAAGGTCTTATCCTTTTTTACAATAGTTATATATTACCAATAATTGATTATTGTTGCACCATATGGGGTTTTACCACAAACTGCAACATTGAGCGGATTCATAAGCTGCAAAAGCACACAGCAAGATTAATTTTGAATAAACCTTTTGATTATCCATCATTATCAATGTTTAAAGAACTTAATTGGATGACCATTTTACACGGATAAAATATTTTCAAGCCATTTTAATGTTCAAATGTATGAATGGACTAGCGCCAGATTATCTTACTAGTAAATTTACTGCGTGCAGTGATCTATATAGTTATTCTCTTAGGTCAACAACATCTGGACATCTTCATTTACCAAGGCCAAAGTCTGAATACTTCAAAAAGACTTTTCAATATTCTGGTCTAATTATTTGGAATAGTTTTGCCAAATGTTATAAAGGATTCAAATCATATCGAAAGCTTTAAGGTGAAATGTGCTAATCTTTTTTTCACAAAACAAAATGAGTAGACAAACTTTTTTTTTTCTTTTTTTCTTAGGACATTCTTGCCATGCTAGTTCTACAGTCTGTTTTCATGCTTGGGTATATAAATTTGAAATTGTGTACATCTCTATTGATTATTGTGTTATATGCATTGATTGTTATATGTATCAATTGTTCATTTTAATGTGTGAAGGCCTTGTGTGAGATTAACAATTGTATGTTAAATGAGTTACCTTCGTTAAATAAAGAATTTATTATTATTATTACTGCACTACATTCCAAAGGTTTCCCTTAAATTTTGACTTCATCATACTGAGACCTCAATATAGAAAAGTGATTGTTGAATGACATCAATAGTTCCAGCGGCACAGATTCTCTGGTCAAACGGCACAGATTTCCAAATAGCGATAAAGTGTATTGAACTGTTTGTTATATATGGGTTTGTGCGAACACAAATGTAAATACTGCAGAGAATAAGCTTTACAGGGTCCCAGTAGCCAATGCTGCTGAAAATTTGCCTGGGCCCCAACTTTATTACAGAATTTTTTTTATATGGTCAACAGTTCTGCCAACTTTTCATAAATCAATTATGCGTGAGATTTGTCAAAAATTGGAAAGATTGAAGAAAAAAAAACATAGTTCAGAGGAAAATGTTGCCAAATAAGCACCTAAAATGCACCTAAAATGCATAAGTCTTGGCTTCACTTGGTCAATAAAATTTTTTCACCTTTATGTCTGTTTAATGATTTGGGCCCCTGGAGTGAAATTTTGAAGCTTATTCCTGGTATTAATTGTCTGTCAGAAAATTTTTTTGGGCTATTTCTTTAATATTTAAGTTTGCCTTTTTTGAGGTTAAGATTGGTACAAATTGTTATCAAAACCCTATTGTTACTGGTTTGATAGTAATATATTTTAAGCTATTTCAGGCCTTTAAAATCTTTACCTTTGGTAGTACAGAGACATATACATGTACACTTTATCGCTATTTTTTTCTGCCATTACTGGTATCCCAAATGTTCCCTATTAAATTTTGATGTCATAATAGAAAATATCTGAAGCCACAATAGAAAAGTGATTTATTTTTGTATGCCGTCAATAGTTAAGGCGGTGCATATTCTTGGGTCAAGAGACACAGATTTCCAAATAGCGATAAAGTGTTTTATGGGTTATAAGGATGGGAAAAATTCTTTAGAACTACTTTAATCATGTTAATAAATCATATGTGTAAATAACAATATCATATTCATATGGTGGCGTAACTAATTAAGAAGCCAATGACGGATATGAATGTATAAAAATTTCCCTCCTTAAATACAAAACAACAAGTGCAGCAGACTAAAGAAGCTTGGGATAAAATTGGTTTGAAATGCTGCTATGCAAATCAATTCCTGGAGTACCAACTTTAATAAATTTTTTACTGGCTGTATATCTCTTGAACATGTTGATATAAGTAATACATGTTTGTGTTCTAGAGTAAAACAAAACCGCTTTTGTCCTAAATCTTAGCCAGTAATTCTATTTGCTTTTCTTTTAAGGTTCTCTTTTGAGATTACACCTGAAGGAAGAGTTTTACGGGTGTACCATCCAGAAGAAAGTGATGATTTTGTCTTGGCAGGGAAGAAAGGATTTGCTGCTCTTCTGGCATCAAGACTTCACGAAGAAGGAGAAGTAATCATAAACATTACATATTTTTGTCCTCCTTTGACCTTGTCAAGAAGCTTTAAGCATTTTCAATATTTTCCTAAAATCTTTTGAGACACAAATGATATGAAGTCTTCAAAGTCATGTACATGTATATAGCTCTGTAGTGAGAACTCTGTATGTTGCTCCTAGTTTAAAATCTTCTTTCATTTCTTTCTACTGAATGTACTTACTTTTTTATGTTCAAGTCAATCTATAAACATTACTTGAGTAAGGGTTCTGATACGTTTTTTGGTCTAATACTGAAATTGAAATTTGAATATGCTATTATGTTATTTTTCAGATATCTGGAAGTCAATCACATGAAGGTTTTACCTACCATACAGAAGAACTTGGCCATGAAGGTAAATGATACAAACACTCCACAAAGATCTGAAAAATGAATACTGATGTGTAATTCATAATTTTACTACCAGTTCTGATGTACAAAGGCAGATTTATTAGGCTGAGATCCTAATCATTTGGGTTCCCATTATTAAAGATGTGTACACGAGCTGAGGACTTACATTGTCACACAATTTTCTGTGCATGAATCCATGCATATGGGGAAGCTTCCTTTTTAAACAGCTGAGCTCTGTCATTGTCAAGATTATCTTTAAATTGTCAAAAAGTAATAGAAAACCTACTTCTTGTTGATATTTTTATCAAAAATTTACTTCCCTTTTCATACATTGCTTTGCATAGTTGGTAAAACCTTAGATAAATAACAAAAAAACGTTGAATCATTATCAACATTTCTGGCTTGTGTGGAGTGCAAAGATCATTTTCTTCTTCTATGTACATACAGTGAAATATTTACTGACTTTATTTTGATGAAATCTGATTATGTGGTTATGCTTTTCTTTATAGGACCTCACAATGCCACATACACTGTTAAAGAGACAAGTACTGGACTGCAGTTCACTAAAGTACGACATGAACCACTGGTTACTAATGCTGGTGGTGAATACAAAAAGGTAAGAGCCACCGATGTGCTGGTATAAATTATACCTTGAGCTTAGGCCATAAGAAGATATATATACATGAATATAGTTGCCATTCCACACTTAGAAAAAGTTTGGTAGGAAGAAAAAGAGAAGTTATTTTGGTTAAACAATACTTAAATACCTCAAATGCAAGTTATATTGTTCAGGTCAAATAATTGAATTCCCTGATTTACTAATTACTTTCTACATTTCAAACATACATGGTCATAACAAAGTGTTCTGCATACAAAACAAAAATAACACAATATATCAAACTATTAAACACAGAAATATAATTATTTTATAAATATTTGCTATTTGACATATTTTGAATGACCTATTCAATAGTCTTTCTTAAAAAATTGAAAAGCATCCCAGCAAAGTGAAATCAATCTTAATTGACTAGGATTGTCAGTTTTCCTACCAAAGGTCAGTGATTCTCTTTGGGCACTTCAGCTTACTCAATAAAAAAAAAAGCCACCAAATAATATCACAATAGTGCTGAAACACCAGTCAATCAACCAATCAATCAATCTTAGCTTTAATCAGGTCTTTAAAAAAAAGTATTTTTTCTTGTAACAGGTGATGCATTACCACTAAGACCTTGAAGTTATACACAGTGTTTTAATAGAGGAAGATTTCATATCGCCTACTACTCCCTCTGCCGAGTAAGTACCTTGGATATAAATCAAAAGATTTAATAAGTTTGATACTGAGTTAAATTATGATAGTATGGATTTATTTATTTTTTATGCCTCTAGTTTTATTGGTAAAATTTCTATACAGTTTAATACATGTCATTTTCCCTATCAGCCTGTGTTAGTAATCCTAAATTCAAATATCAGCCAGAGATTCTAACGGAAAGTCTGACATGGGTTATGGGTTGAAAAACAAGCATATGAGCTTCTTCAGATAGAAATCGACCTTATGCAAATCAACATCAATACATCTGTTAACCTATTTTGGTTTAAAAAAAAAATTCAACAGAAAGTCTGGGACTGTTTACAAGTTGAATTCTTAATCAAATGCTACGAAATGGACCAAACTTCATCTTTTATTTCATTGTATTTAGTATATGAATGTTCCAAAATCAATCAAATTCTTATACATGTACATATTTACATACACTTGCATAAGGTCAATTTATATCAGACGCAACTCATATATTAAAAAAAAACATGTATCAATCAGTTTATCATAACTTTGTTTGTGCATTCAGGATTGTAACCCCATATCATTCATCGATTTGCCAAAACAGCAAAGCCTTTATGAAATATGTACTTTAACAAAAATTTGAATTCCTGGTTTACCTATGTGATAAAATTGAGAATGAAAATGGAGAATATGTCAAAGAGATAACAACCCGAAATCCACGAAACCACAAAGAATGAGTGTCATTCTGAAAATGCTTGAAATATTTACCTCTAGAAATTAAGCAAAAAATCAAAATAAAGCAGTAAATAAGTTCAATATGACAAACTATATACAAAAATGTATATTACGGACAGAATTGCATGAAATAAGTATAAAATATATATTTCCCTTCCAGCTTTGATCCACTGCATGGAATGAGGAAAATTAAAGCAGTCAATGAATTCAGTTCCATGGGTATGTATTGAAACTAAAACTCCTTATTTAATTATTCATCAATTTATTTATTTATTTAATTATTCTATCAAAATCATTCAAATTTTTACACATTTTACTTTTTTTTTCCTTTTTTGTCATTCTAAATTATATTAATTACCATATGGTAAAAATTAAATTATTTAAATGCCCAAAAAGGCGCAAGCCAGGGCCAACCGTGGGAGGGCTGTATAGCCAGTCACGGTGTTTAAAAACTTCCATCATCATAAATTTTAAAAAATTGCCTACCCTGGGGGGACATAGTATTTTCTGGAAGAGCCCTAATACATATTTGTTGCATAAGCTTTTATTTATAAAATATTAAACTTTTTTGAGAATTTGGATATTTAAACTAATTTATTGATATTCCTTCAAAAATCCATTTTCATTCTGTAGATTGAAAAACATGAAAAATTGCAAAAAAACAATTAACTTTTAAGTTCAGAAGCAAAATTCTTAGTATGTGCAAATAATTTTCTATCGTAGAAATTCCTGAGATGAAAGCCATCAGTAAAGGAAGACTATCCTATCTAACAAGAAGGTTTGAAAGAGATGCTGTCACTAAACCAATGCTGGGATTAGAAGAATCAACCATCCATGTAACCGAGGTTTGGACCGACTCATTGTTTATCTTTACCAAAATTCATTATATTCACTTTGAATTTTTGATATATTAAGGATTTTCTGCCCCAGGAATAAATTGTTTTAGTTGTATTTGGCAAAACCTTACAGGAGTTTGGGTCCTCAATGCTCTTCAACTTTGTACTAAATTTGTCCTTTTTGTCGAGCCTGCGACTTTTGTTGCAGAAAGCTCGATATAGGGATAGTGATCCGGCGTCGGCGTTAGCTAACTTCTTAAAAGCTTTATATTTTAGAAGCTAGAAGACCTGGATGCTTCATACTTTGTATATAGATGCCTTATGTTACGAAGTTTCCGTCTGTCATATTTCCATTGTCCTTGACCTCATTTTCATGGTTCAGTGACTACTTGAAAAAAAGTCAACATCTTTTGTAATGTTAATTTCTTTCTTGTTATGAGTAATAGGATAACTATATTTAGTATGTGCGTACCTTGCAAGGTCCTCATGCCCGTCAGACAATTTTCATTTGACTTCGACCTCATTTCATGGATCAGTGAACAAGGTTAAGTTTTCGTGGTCAAGTCCATATATCAGGTACTATAAGCAGTAGGTCTACTATATTTGGTATATGGAACGATTGTAAGGTGTACATGTCCATCTGGTAGGTGTCATCTGACCTTGACCTCATTTTCATGGTTCAGTGGTCAAAGTTAAGTTTTTTAGTTTTGGTCTTTTTTTCTAATACTATAGGCAATAGGTCAACTATATTTGGTGTATGGAAATATTTTATGATGTACATGTCAGTCTCGCAGGTTTTATTTGACCTTGATCTCATTTTCACCGTTCATTTCTCAGTGTTAAGATTTTGTGTTTTGGTCTGTTTTAACTATAAGCAATAGATCAACTATATTTGTTCTATGGAAAGATTGTAAGGTGTTTATGTCTGTCTGGCAGGTATCATCTGACCTTCACCTCATTTTCATTGTTCATTGGTCAATGTTAAGTTTTCATGGTTAAGTTTGTTTCTTAGATACTATAAGCAATAGGTTAACTATATTTAATGCATACATTGATTGTAAGGTGTACATGTCTGTCTGGCATGGTTCATCTGACCTTGACCTCATTTTCATGGTTCATTGGTCAATGTTAAGTTTTCTTGGTTAAGATTGTTTCTTAGAAACTATAAGCAATAGGTCAACTATGTTTGGTTAATTGAATGATTGTGAGGTGTACATGTATTTCTCGTTTGGTTTATCTGACCTTGACCTCATTTTCTTGGATCATGTTAAGTTTATGTGTTACTTGAAGTAAAGCTTTATATTTAGGACTATCAACATAAAATCAATGGTTAGTAAAGAAGGCGAGACATTTCAGCGTGTGCACTCTTGTTATAGAAAAACTCCAGACTTAACTGGTCAATTAGCTTCTTACAGTCCACTTAAATGACATTTTGGTTCTGCATATACATGTTATATTTTCCTCTTGACATCAACAACCCACTTACATTAATTAGAGACAAATAATATAGTGATATGTAAATTTATAAAAAAATCAGCTCCCATGATCTTATTGTTGAATTTTATCATATCTTTTTTCAGATGAGAAAAAAAGTAGCCATTCTTGATCGGGCTAAAGCTTGGCAGTTCATCAAAGGGAATATAACCTGTATGTGGACCCAGCCAGAAAATGGTAAGTAAATCATAATGACAGAAAAAATAATCATTATCGTGACTATCCAATGATTTTCCACCTTCACATATTCTATAGATGATACAGAACCCTATAAGTATTTGATTTTGAAAATTTGATCTCACTGATGAAAAATGACAGATCACAAATATGTAAATGAGCCCTTTAGGAAGTTGTGTGTTTTACCATAATCTTTATGATGAATGATCTCTAACCACATGAACCAGATGCAATTATTTTAGCAAAATTTGGCTGTCGATTTACATATTTTCTCTTGATACACAAATGTGCATACTTTTTATGACTGAAAAAATCCTAAAATCATTAAAAGAAATTTAGTTCGGTATTGGTTTAATGGTTGTTTGATTTTTATCAAAATAGTCACTTAAAGATTTTGCTTTAATATAGGTGCTTAAGGTCAAATTTAAACTATTTATTGAACCATATTTCCTTGTCATAGATATCAGTCAGTACACCTCCAACAGATTAAGTGTAAAACTGTTGTTCTATTTATTTACAGGTCGTACATTGGCAGCAAATACCTGTTTCTTCAAGATAGTCGATGTACTAAAATCAATACCTGAAGATGAACTTGTGAAGCTTGCTAAATACTACTTCGTAGAACTGAAATCAGAGTAAGTCTGAGTCCTTTCAAAGTTTAATTGTATTGTGACATAGAGATAGCAGTGTAAGTTTTAAGATGAGTAAAAACTTTCATCAGCTTACAACACATTTACTCCAAAATATTACTGTAGAATTGGACATAAGTTTTGGTGAATTTTCCTGTGCATTTCTGATTGAATTGTCAAGTCATAGCTAGGTACTGTAATTAATTTTTAAATTACATTTAGCAGTAATGACCATTTACATAATCAAAAACTCATTTAAGGATGAAATGTCCTTGCCCGCTGAAGGTTGGTTTAAATGTATCATTTGCCATAGTTTTATTTTCTAATCTCTTTTTTTCAGTCGTTCAAGGTATGTAGGAGCAATGAACATCATGTTGGATGCCTTTGGAGTGATCTATACAAACTTCAGTGAGAACCTGCTGGCAGATTACATTCTAAAGAGTTCTGATCCTAAGCCTACACTTATCTTAAGGCTGCTGACGCACATTGTAGGAAAAGACAACCCACCACATGATGTATGTATTGTACTCTAACAAAATAACCAATAACTGTAAATTCAGAAGTTATTGCATGCCTTCATTATTGCAATTTTGTCATTTTAGACTAAAATGCGATTTTAATTTTTGTGATATTAAGAAAAATCCTGTTTAATTCATACAAAAAATTTCAAAATGTGAGTTTGAATTATTGCGATTATAACCCTGTTGCATTTTTTGCAATAATAAAAACATCGCAATAATTTCTGAATTTACACTTTCTTTTCTCAAAAGAACTGTTGAAAAACAGTTTATGACATTTAAATGATAAAGGAGAAAATGATCAATTGAAACACATACAAATCAAAACATCGTGTAAAACTAAAACCTTTTGAAACTAAACCTGTAGAATAACTGTCTACTTTGAATGCTTTCAATTCCATTAGCCTATATTAACCTGATTATATCAAACTTCAGTCTTGGCCAAACAATGAAATTAGTTCATAATTATTTGTTTAAGACATGATTTACTGTAAATGCCTAAAAATGCATGGAAATTCCTTATTACCATTCTTATGAAATTCCTAAAAAAAAATATACTTAAAGGGACACTAGCTACGAGATACATAAAAAAATTTAAATTATGATTTGTTTTGTTCAATCATTAATGAAAGTGAAATAGTGAAATAATAATTCGGTATAAGCAGCCAGTATGGTTCAATTTTGTCAAAATAAGCTAAGAAACATCGATGATGAATTATTCACTTGCAAGTGAATAATTCGACATTGAATCTGTATTCATGTGAACTTCAATTTTACACCTTAGCTAGAGATAGATTATGCATGATTGATGCGTGTTAGGCTATTTAAAATAAAGAATGTCAACATTGAGAGTGAAACAAAGGTAAATCATTTGATTGACTGATTCGTTCCACAAAAAATCATTCTTATACAGGTAAAATAAAAAATTAGCTTATTTTTTTAACCTTAAAATTGAAATCAAACAGACATGGAGAAATCCATTTGCAAGAGGTCCATATAACTATTTATATTTATGCTTATGTTTATATTGTGTTATGTGACTGTCGGTTGTTTTGGGGGGTCATCTCGATAGTTAATTAGATGTCGTCTAGACTAAAATACACACGAAAAGATGCTACACATTATCGCGCCCTTCCCCTGTAAATTGTTTATTTTAGACTTTTTATAACTTGGATAAATGTTTTATATTGTTATAAATCTAATATGAGAATTTGAGTCAAATGGGTGAACATGAATTTGACAGCTAGTGCCCCTTTAACATAAAAGTTGTCTTATGATGTATCTTATATTTCTATTGCTAATTCAAAATCTTTTTGTTTATTTATGGTCTTTGATACTATGGATTCATTTATTTTTTTCATGTTTTTCAGGATTAAGGAAACATTTTTTTTGGTGAATATTTGAGTTTGTGGTTGTTCAAAAGTCTGCATACAAGTCTATAAGAAAATTTGTATTTCATTGAACATTTAAATTTGTTGTTCAGATGAACATTTGAAATATATGGAGATTGGAATCCTCTGAGTAATAATGAATCCGCAGTGATCACTGTTAAGTTATATAAATTTAAGTTCTTATTTCAGAATATGATAGCTGCTATGGAAGACATTGTATTTAACAAAGAGAACCACCCAGAAGAGATTTACAAAGAGAATCTTCATGAAAGGGTCTTGCTCTGTCTTGGTGCAGTGTCACATAAGTTAACAAAAGTGGGTCGGGTAGAGGAGGCTATCAGCATAACTGTACGAGTTCATCAATGGCTAGGAATACATGGTAATATCTTTGTTTGTGTTTTTAACCTCTCTCTATTTTTTTTTTATTAAATGCAAGAAATGATAATTACTTAGTTCTTTTTATAAAGACCATCCCTTTTTTAGAAGATTTTTTCCTTTCAATAGGGGTTAAATCGATTAAATCTGCTTGAATTTTTTTTACTTAAATATTGTATATTTTGTTAGATCCATTTGTATACAGAAAGAAAAGAGCAATTCAGAGCGAACAGGAACAAATTGATTACGACCATTGGAGAGTGATTCTGTTAGAAACACTAGGAAATGCCAGAATGGACTTCTCTTATGAATATATTGTTTCACATATCAACTCAACTAACTCACCTTGGATCAAAAGAGCTGGAGTTCATGCTCTAAGGAAATATGAACATGAAATGGTGAGTTGTATGTAGGCTATGCAAAATTTTGTACATAGCATAATCAGTTGTGTATAGTTTGTATGCAATTGTGAATATGATGCAACCCCTTTTCATCCCACCCAAAAGTTGTGAAAAAAAGTTGAGAAAAGAAAAAACAATAAGTAAAAAAAATTGAAAATTTAAATAAAAATTGAAAACTTTTTACAGTTGTGTGTAATACACACTCCCTGTACCAACTACATATTTTTGGTAAAAAATTGCGGATTATACATGACCAACAATATATGGTACACGGTAATTTGCATAAACTTAGCTTTATACATGGTGAGGAAAATGTTGAAAAAAACATGAATATTTTCTTTACCTTTTGTTTGTTCTAGTGTCACAATTTTGTTTTATTTGAAACTTATACTTTTAAAAAAAAATTGATACAAAGAGATTATTCCTGTTCAGTACTTATTGAATTGCTTTAAGTCTTATATTCACTAAGGTGGCAGAAACCAGTTATTTTACAATAAATCTTTAGAATTTCATGGATTTATGATTTTATTTTCTTGAAAATTCATTCAAGCTTATATACAAATAAAATGTATGGATTCAAGTAACTAAGATGTGTGCGTGCTTATGTGAATATATAGAAAACCTTTAAATTTGGGTGTCTGTCCAGCATGGATATTTTAAAATTTATAAATGCATTGCAAATAAGGCAAAAAATGTGATGCTCTGATACCAATCTAATCCTTACCTGCAGAATCCTGCTAAAAGCCGACAAGAATTTTAGGCAAAATCCAAGAGATAAATGATATTCAGTGAATTAGAGCCTTGTCCGAACCTATCCTTACCATCAAAATCTCAAGATATTTTTGTTTACATAAAACTGAAGTTTTTCCCCACTTTGATTGGATGCCGTCAAGTGAGGAGACCACAATTTTGACTTCTGATTGGACCCATTTGTGAAGGAAATCCCCAACCTGTGTATGCAACTACTTACTTGTGTAGTACAATAGCCTAGAATTTACATTCATTTATTTTTTCAGTCCACATGATGCAATTATATACCTCAATGCTTAACTATAACCAAATTTCTGCGTGGGACACATGTTCTGGTACACCAAAACTGGTACCTGCCACCTTTAACCACTTATTAAAAAGAATATATTTCCATTTTTTTAGTCTGATTGAGTTCTGTAGTCATTTACCATTAAAAATACATGCAGTGCATATGGATACGGCACAAAAAAAAACATTAATAGGCTTTGTAAGACCAAATTTATTAAAGCAATATTTGTGTCTTTTGCCGTCAAACTGCTTTGAATGCAAAAAAAATAGAAAAAAAGGATTGTGTTCATATTTAATAAATTTTATTGTGTGAGTTTTCTGGTACAGTGTATGAATTATCCAACAGTTCTCAAAAATACTTTAGTTTATTGTTTCATGCATGATATAAAACCACTTACAACTGATCTCAGGAAGTATTTTTCCATTGTTTGAGGTATTAAATAGTCTCAATTCTTGTCACTATCACTGTTCTGTTGACTGCAGTGCTGAAAAAGGCTTAGTTTTGAATAAACTAATATTTTTGGTACATATATTTCACTTTGTAGATCCATGCTGCAATAAACTAAGTGTACATTTATTCGCAATAAGTCTCATATCTCTTCTCCACATAAGCTGGCTGTGTAGGCCGCATGTTGAAATTTTAGAATTGCCACACTATTGCTGATGAGAGAGACCAGTTTTCTTATTTCTGTAGCCTGTCCTACAGTATCAACTATGTAGTAGACCTATAAAAAAAGAAGAATTCATATATTCATAGTTAAAAAGTAAATAAATAAGAAAATGTCCATATCATGTGAAATAAATCATTATAACAGGTAATATACAGTATAATCAGCTTTTTCTAGTGCTATGCTGAGTCTTATTTTACTTTTTTCTCTCTTTGTAATTGCTATTTCTATATATTTTATGATATAAAATCATTGTTTGGTGAATATAATCATTTTAAAACTAATCAATTGAGTGTCATTGTTTGTATTGGTATACAGAGTTATCTGTCTTGATATTTGATAATTCTTAAAATCCATGTAAAAACTATTTTCTTCCAAACAGACCTATACATTGACTGTGAATAAAAGAAATGTAACACCACACACCTGTAGAACCCTTAAAAAGGCACATTTTGTGATATGTTAAAATCATGTTTAGGCTTAAGGTGGCAGAAACCAGTTATTTTACAATAAATCTTTAGAATTTCATGGATTTATGATTTTATTTTCTTGAAAATTCATTCAAGCTTATATACAAATAAAATGTATGGATTCAAGTAACTAAGATGTGTGCGTGCTTATGTGAATATATAGAAAACCTTTAAATTTGGGTGTCTGTCCAGCATGGATATTTTAAAATTTATAAATGCATTGCAAATAAGGCAAAAAATGTGATGCTCTGATACCAATCTAATCCTTACCTGCAGAATCCTGCTAAAAGCCGACAAGAATTTTAGGCAAAATCCAAGAGATAAATGATATTCAGTGAATTAGAGCCTTGTCCGAACCTATCCTTACCATCAAAATCTCAAGATATTTTTGTTTACATAAAACTGAAGTTTTTCCCCACTTTGATTGGATGCCGTCAAGTGAGGAGACCACAATTTTGACTTCTGATTGGACCCATTTGTGAAGGAAATCCCCAACCTGTGTATGCAACTACTTACTTGTGTAGTACAATAGCCTAGAATTTACATTCATTTATTTTTTCAGTCCACATGATGCAATTATATACCTCAATGCTTAACTATAACCAAATTTCTGCGTGGGACACATGTTCTGGTACACCAAAACTGGTACCTGCCACCTAAGTGATCTGACTTACAATAAATTTCAGTTGTCTCCCTTTTTGAAACCGTTCTCAAGTCATGATTCAAACTATTTTCAAGCTGATTCTTTATAGTTTAACAGTTCAACAAAGTAAAACAAAGTAAACTCCATCCATATTAGGGACATATACAATTTTTTTTGTCATTACCTTGAAATACATAAATAAGCGATTAAAAATAGATGATAAAGGCTATAAGTCATTTTTTTCCAGGCTGCTGATGAGATGTATAAAGCTGCCATGTTTGATGAGAATGATGAGGTTCGTTACGAGGCTTTATTGCAATATCAGGCGCATCCTCAAGCAAAGATTATCACACCTCTAAAAGCGTAAGTTAAAGAAATCAGGAAAAATATTTAGATGATTACTGACATCGTCAAATTAATACAAAAAGTGCCAATAACTTTGACAAATATTTTCCAATCTAGATTTCTGAATTGCATTCAGTCTTTGTTGATTTTTTATGTTTTTATCCAGGAGAGAAGTAGTTAATGGAACTGGTATTAGTGATCCCTATGAGTCTGGAATCATGGAAATAGCACCTCATAGCAGAGAAAAACGATCCTTGGCTTTTCTGGATAAGTTTCCCAAGATAAACTTTAGACTTGAGGCCCCAAGTGTTGATTGGAGGAAAATTTTAGGATCTCAAAAGATAGGTGCTGCCTTTGGTGTCATCATGTATAACTTGCTGGATCTGACAGTGTTCTCCCCAGGATTTTTGGATAGCACCAGGGTAACACGTGTGAACAGCTTGGTGAAATGATTCATACAATCAGTTGTGTAGCGTGGCGTCGCTATATTTCTAGTTACTGCAGTTTTTATGTCTCTTGTTTTGTTTTAATACTGTGGTACTGTGTTATGTCAGAATATTATTGGTTAAAAAGATCAATAAAACAGTTTGTATTCTTTTTAATATTTTTTGAAAATAAATAAAACATGATTCATTACATAATATTCATCTAAATTTAAAGTAATTAAATCTTTTATCCATGATCAATAAAAATAAAATATCATTCAAACAGGAACATATATATTGTTAGATATACTGTTCCCAGATTCAAAAGAGAACAAAAATGTTCAATTTAAAAATACTTTCTAGTTTCTAGAAAGAAAGTTGTTGTATGTGAAAGGATTCCTGTCATAAGGAGATATAAAATTAACAAGAACAAAATTGTGTTATAATTTGAACCAGTTTCTATCTTAAATTTTAATAAAAAGAAATTTTTCACAAATTTTTAAACATTTTGCCATAGATTTCATGTACATGTAAATATTAACCTTTCTTGTCTTTGGTGATGATCAAACATAGATACAGACTTAATACTGCACTGAAATCTAAATCTTTATTTGTCATGATCCATTTAAAAAGAATTCCTAAATCTATAAATTTATCTTAGGTCTATAGATCTATAAGTAACATATTCAATGTCAACAACAAAGTCTCCCTATTTTCCCGCCTAAATGACAGGAAGTAGATATAAATAGATTTAACATGTGCTTATGGATTAAAATTGCAAGATCACTTTTGTTATTCATTAATGATCATATGGATATAGATATCCAGTTTGAAGGTACAGTCATGCATTTTATTTATAAAATAGAATAGATTGCAGTTAATTGTAAATAAATTTGAATATTCTACATGAACTAACTGGGTCATGGGATCCTTCCCCTTTGAATTACTTGTTGACAGTTTGAAACCGGAATATCATGCAATAACTATGTTATGTCATAATTAAAGATAATTTTGGCCATGGTTTAATCAGAGACATATAAAACTATAATATAAGTATTGAGCTAACTTTATAATGTACAAAATATGTACCGTCGTGTGTACAACTATCGGGTCACACGGTTTGTGTACAAAGTATTTGCCGACTTGTCAGGTGGTGAGTGAAGCCTTAAAATAGTTATCTATGATCATAAAGTTATGATTTCTAAATTAAAACACGAAAGAATCATGTAAAAAGTGTTAATTACATCGATTAAATCCAATCAACAAAGGTTAACCTCATAAAGGTAAATCGATCACGTGGTGTAAACAATCCGTGTTGAACTGGTTTGAACTGGTCAAATTTCACCTGGAATTTTATACCACACGGAAAAGATTAAACAAGTCGTTTAACACTTTTTTACCGATTTACGATTTTTTAACTGAAAATTTTAGCACCACGGAGAAAAATTATACATCGCGGTAAGAACGATACCACCGCGGTAAAAAAATATACATCGCGGGCCCGTGGTCCTTTAATGGTCTGGGGAGAACACTGTCTGAAAATTGGTAAGTTTTCCCTATTTTAATTCTGTCTAAAATAAAATAATTTGACAAATCTTTGTTAAATACCTCTGATACTGCAAAGATCACATACTGTATACTGTGGATTCATTTATTTTCATGGGTACCAATTTTTGTGGGTTGAGGAAAACTTGCATTTTTGTGGATATTGGATTTCGTGGTTTTCCAAGAGTCTGCATTTTATCATACAGCAAATTTGCAATTCGTTGAACATTTAAATTCATAGTTTCCCTGTACCCGCGAAATCCACAAAAATTTGTATCCAACGAATAGTAATGAATCCACAGTAGTTGTCACCATTTTTATTTTGCATAGATTTATATTGATGACATACCTCATTGTTTAAAGACCTTACCTCCTGCAGAGATCACACACCATTAAAGTATAGTTGTCACTATTTTTATTTTTCATAGATTTATATGGATGACATACCTCATTGTTTAAAGACCTTATGTACTGCAGAGATAACATCTTAGGAGGATTTGACATATGAAGTTAAGGTCAAGAGTTATTTTAAGCAAAAATATGTGTATTTTTTAAACATTAATGAACTATCTTTTGTAGAGCCCTTAAGCGGTCATTTGAGAGTAAATGTTCATGATGAGGCCTATGCCAGAATACTCCTTGGAGTTTTGAACTTCAACTTGGAATTTTTTGTAGCCAGACTTTGTTTTAAAGGAGGCACCCAGTACAATCTGAATATTTTAAAAGTATGTTGGATAACAAAAACCAGTCTTTTGATAGTTTATATACACTGTCAGTTAAACAGTTGTTTTTTTTGGAGGTTAACAAAACATGTAATTTATTACTGGTAGTTATAAATATTTGAAGGAGAATTGAGAAAAAAAAAAAAAAATATGAAAAGATTAAAAAAATAGGGAAATGTGGTATTATTGCCAATGAGACAATAATCCACCAAAGTTCAAATGAAATGGATTCAAGTGAATGAAGTTCAAAAGAAGCATTTTTTGAAAGTTTATACTGTGAATCACATACATTTGTTGGGCTTTGTATTTGATAAAGTTTTGTGTAGACATCTGTATTCACATTGTTTTGGTAGACATCTGTATTCACATTGTTTTGACATCATTTTTTCATTTTTTTCTGTGCAAATTGCTTATTCATGCTAATTTTGACAACAGTTTTATATTTCACTGAAAATCTTGTACATTCATTGAAAAAAGAACCTTTATAAAACTGAATTGACTTAATCTTTTACTCAATTTCTATTCTATAGAATTTTATGCATTCTGGTTATGTTTTTTTCTCTTATTCAAAATGTTATATACTGTGGAATCATTTATTTTCGTGGGTACCAATTTTTTGTGGATTGAGAAAAACTTGCATTTTTGTGGACATTTGATTTTGTGTTTTTCCAAAAGTCTGCATATATTCATACAGCAAATGAGTAATTCGTTTAACATATAAATATGTGGTTTCCTTGATCCCACAAAATCCACAAAAATTGGTATCCAACAAATAATAATGAATCCACAGTATTGGTATAAGCATGACTTGTGATGGATATTTTAATGTTGTTTTACTTTTAGGAAAATGGGATGCAGCAGATAATTGAATTGGCCACTAAGTTTGACAAGAAAGTGATGGAGATTGTTAATGCCATTGAAACAGGAGTCAAGTTGTTTAAAGACCTGATTGATGGGAAAATAAACATCAAAGAAATTGTTGATGAATTCATAGATGCTTTGAAGGAGTTACCTGGCAAGGTAAATATTCCAAATGGAGTTTGAATGGTTTTACACAAGTCATTTTTGGGGCCCTTTATAGCTTGCTATTGGGCGTGAGCCAAGGCTCCGTGTTAAAGACCGTACTTTGACCTATAACGGTTTAGTGTTATAAATTGTGACTTGGATGGAGAGTTGTCTCATTAGCACTCATACCACATCTTCTTATATCTAATTACCTGAAAGAACAATAAAACTGTAAACTACTAAATTGTGCAAGTTATTTATTTACATAACTTTCTCAAGAGGATAATAATTAGAATTTAAATCTATATAAGTTGTCTTCCCTTATACACCAGAAATTCCAGAAAAACCAACTCCTGCAAAGTCAAGCAGAAATGGGGAGAAGGAATGTTTGTAAATTAAGTCATTTTGATCTAATTTTATAAATAACTGATTTTTTTTTTAAAGTTTTGATTTAAGGTTTAGATCATTGCTTTAGAGAAATAATATTTTATCAGTGGGCAAGTGTTGAAATAAAACAGATTCATACAAAGAATTAAGGCAGTCTGATCTTTATTGTCAATAGCTGATTTTGTTTTTTTAAGGTCCAGACTTCAGAGATCTTATTCATAGAAAAAAAAATTGTCAATATGGTTTGTAATGATATTGATAGACTGTGCAAATATTAGGTATCTTCATCTAACATTCAAGTCTTTCTAACATTATGTATAGTTTGTTACAATTGTATATTATGATTATTATATTTGTTTTAAATTTTTTAACAGGTTTGGGGACTTAGAGACAAAGTAGCCAATGTGATGAAAATGATAGGTCAGCTAGATGAGGAAGAGCTACCTCCCTTTTTAAGACCACTCAGAAATCTGATTGTGAAAGTAACAACAGTGTTTAATGATGTTAAAACAGATATCATGAACTTTTATAATGTAAGTTTAAGTAATATATTGATGATCTCACTGTAAAGCAGTAGCAATAGTTTAAGTAATATATGGATGATCTCAATGTAAAGCAGTAGCAATAGTTGAAGTAATATATTGATGATCTCACTGTAAAGCAATAGAAATGTCAAGGTCATTTACTTTTTGAATAAATTTTTCAAAAGAAACATAAGATTTTTTACTCATGTCATATATTTTAAGCCTGGCATGTTTACTTATGATTTATTTTTAAAAGCACTTGCTTTTATTGTTATAGTGTATGGCCATTTCGAAATAGAGTGCACATGCTTTTCATCCTATAGATCTTTCAAGATTGAGTAATAATATGGTTTTGTTTGATTATCATAATGAAAATTAATTAATTTTTTTGGTGCAGACATTTTAGTATAAAATTAATTCATAACTTGTAATAATGGAACTAATCTTGTACTTGCATGCACCTTTCTTTGTGTACAACAAATGCTTTTAACAGCGCTATCATACTTTGATTATCTTTCAGACATTGGTTCAGACCATCACTGTTATAATTCCACAGAATGCCAAATTAATCTATGAAAGTATCGTTGATATCATTGATGGTTTCAAGGTCATAATAAAAGATCCTAAGACAGCTTTAACTAAGATCGGCAAAGGTGTTGTACAGTAAGTAGACTCCTATTCAATATGCTAATAGAACTAACAGAACAATTCACTCCTATTCAATATGCTAATAGAAATACCAGAACAATTCACTCCTATTCAATATGCTAATAGAACTACCAGAACAATTCACTCCTATTCAATATGCTAATATAACTACCAGAACAATTCATGAAACTATTGCAATGTATATAAATAATTGAAATATTGATACAAGTGAAAAAAGGGATTTGGATTGATTTTTATAATATTTTATCAAATGACAGCCTGGAGAAGAAAAGGGCCGATTTAAATGGTAGAAGCAAAAGAATTTACTTTTACCTCTCTAATACCTAGAATATTGACTACGGTGTCTTTGTTTTACGAAAGTCTTTTGAATATTCTTACTTCACACATAAAGAAATAAGAAATGATTTTGAGATCCTTTTTATACATGTGTATGCCTTGTCTACGCAGCAATATTTTGTCTGGTCTGTGCCAAGGTCTGTCCTGTACATGGGCAATCCTTGATGATATTCAAGTTTTGATTTATGATTTTAAATGTCAACTTATTAAGATATCTACCAATTAAATTTCTATATTTAGGGCATCTGTGTACATTCTTCTTTTACCTATGAATTAGTTATAGCTTTTGTCTAAAAGTCAGTTGATCATGTTATTTATGTTATCAGTTCAATGACCTTTAAAAAAATTGCAATGTTGGTATTCATGTATTGCTGTCTTCAGGGTAGACTTTTTGTACACCTGTTTACGGGACGTATTATGGTATACGGTTGTTCGTCCGACCGTCCGTTCGTCTGTCCGTCCGTCGTCAACATGTCGGACATTAACTCAAAAACACTTTAACCAATTTGCATTAAACTTTGGTGAATTGTTTATATCTATTGACGTGAGCTCCCTTTCGTTTTTTATGAATTATAGATTTTACGTTTCCAAGTTATGGGGTTTTATTCATTAAAAAAAAGGGGGATTTTCCAGTTCTCGGACAATAACTAAAGAATGCTTTCACCAACTTGCAAGAAATCTTGGTGAATTGTTTATATCTATTGACATGAGCTCGCTTTTGATTTTCATAAATTTTAGATTTTACATTTTCGAGTTACAGGGTTTTATTGATAAAAAAGGGGGATTTTCCAGTTTTCTGACAATAACTTAAAAATGCTTTCAGCAGTTCTCATTAAACTTTGGTGAATTGTTAATATCTATTGATGTAAGCTCCCTTTAGATTTTTATAAATTTTAGATTTTACATTTCTGAGTTATGGGGTTTTATTCATTAAAAAAGGGGGGATTTTCTAGTTTTCAGACAATAACTCAAAAATGCTTTCAGCAATTCTCATGAAACTTTGGTGAATTGTTTATATCTATTGATGTAAGCTACCTTTAGATTTTCATAAATTTCTAATATGACATTGAGAAATAATTGAACTTTATTCTTTGAAAATGTAACGGGCGTATCATGCGCTCATGGCACAGCTGTTTGTTAATTGTGTCAAAGGATGTTTTTAAAGGGAAGACCATAATTATGTATTTGTTCCCCATTTACATATTTACTCCTCATGTGCATATTTTTGTTTCAGGATTTTTATGTCTATAAAGGCCTTACTAGATGCAAAGAATAAAACACAAGAAGCTTGCTTCTTCTTGAAAGGTAGGTTTATTTAATCCTGCAATATGATTGAGGATGAGTAACATTTTCTTTTGTATTGCAAGAAAAAGTCCATCATAAGACCAGCTTTTATTAAAAAGCTGATAATTGAGACAAATTGTATTGAAAATTTTAAAGACCTAAATGATGATGCTAAAAATGGAAATTATTCTCTGTCCATCAACACGAAAATAAGTAGAAAGCATAGGTCTTTATAAAGCAGTTAGTTTCTAAGGGTAGGGGACTCATAATTGAATTATTACCTATTATACTATTATACTATATAAATGCATGTTTTAATTAGTTTGTTTATTATAATTATACATGCTTTCTTCTTTTCATTTATATTATACTTTCTTTTGTTTGTTTTAGTCACAAATTATGTACTGCAGATTCATTTATTTTTCGTGGGTACCAATATTTGTGGATTGACAAAATCTTGCAGATTCGTGGATATTTTAATTTCTTGGTTTTGTCAAAGTCTGCATACATTCCTTTAGAAAATTTGTAATTCAGTGAACATTTGTATTCGTGGTCCCCCTGTATGCATGAATTCTATGAAAATTAGTACCGTAGAAAGGCTTGTATAGTTCGCAGTGGTACATAGTCCGCACCCCCTTCTCCCAACGAAATTTTAGGTAAAAAAACTTTTTGTAACTGTTAGAAAAGGTCTAATGAAACTCCGGTAATTTCAAATCCTGTGCGGTCGTTTGCGGTATTTTCTTGGAAAAACCTGTTTTCCATCATCAAACAGAAGCTGAAACTGCTTGTAAATGATTCTAGAACGCTTCATGATTGTTAAAATAAGTTTAATTCACTTAAAAAACAATTTAGAAACTTGTGTATGTTTAAACAGGAAGTTTAAAAAGCACGTGTAAAAGAAGAAATTAACCGGTGAGAGTCGAAATCCGTACATAACAGATATCACTATAATACGACTTTGAAAGTAAAACAGTTCCATCCTTTTGTAAAACAGTCTTTAATATATCTATCACATTAATGTTTGAAGGGTCTTAAGCTAATACAAACCATATTAGTCAGTATGAAACACCAAAACGGAACGAACAATAACCGATTACGTTTTGTAGTTTACAAATTCTAAGCTGGTTTACGGTTGTCTTTTTCACTATGTTTGTATCGTTTCAATCAAGCAGATACCAGTTTATTTCAACCAATGCATTGAAAAGAAACGAGAAATTTGTAATGAAAGATTTAGTTTTTATATTTATCAGTATTAATTTGATATTGAATAGAAATAACTTATTAATATGGATGAGTTAAAATTATTAGTTTGAAAAATGATAAGAGCGCCCTCTACAATAGAAATAACAAAGATGGCGGAACGTAAACAAACCACCTCGACCGCGAAATTGAAATTTTTCTCTTATTTCTTGCTTATTGTACTCTATAGTCCGCACCCCGTCTGGAAGGTCCAATTTTGGAGAATAAAACCGCGGGCTATACAAGCCTTTCTACGGTATCCAACAGTATTAATGAATCTACAGTAAGTTGATTCATATGACAATAAAGTCTGAATTGAATTAAATTAAAAGGTATGAAAGTGAAATACAGTTTGGTTTAATCAGCTGTCATTTTTGACTAAACTTTTTATTAATTTTGCAGATGAAAAACCATACTGGTGGGATATTACAACAGTTTTTGAAGAAATTTTGGCTCTTTCAAAACAAGCTGTAAAAGCCTTGGTAAAAGGTGGACCCACCTGGATAAAAACCACTGTTATTGAAGGGGATGATCCTGTTGCAAAATTCACTAAAGGCAAAGTCTCACAGGTCAGTTACACCTACCAGTCCTATGGAGTCATTCTCTGGGAATTGGGTAGATTTTTGAGTCATCAATAAAGCTGATATCAAAGAATTATATTTCAATTACTTTTAACTGTCTTGACGGTCTCATGAAAGTATGCTGGTCTCAAGTGAAAAAGAGAAAAAGACGACTTGATATCAATGCATCGTCATTGAAACAGCACATCACATAAAGTAGTTAAGCAAAGACATGTCTTCCTTCAAAAAGTAAAATGACAAAAATACCAAACTCCAAGGAAAATTCAAAATGGAAAGTCCATTATCAAATGGTAAAATCAAAAGCTTAAACACATAAAAACGAATGGAAAACAAGTGTCATATTTCTGACTCGAAACTGTCACACTGTGAATAAGCATATTATAAAGAAGAAAAAGGCAAAGACTGGTCGAAATTAAGTCAAAATACTGCAAATTCAGAAATATTTGCAATGATTTTATTATTGCAAAAATTGTGACAAGATAGATGTCACAAAAATAAAAACATCTCCTTTTTAAATTTTAAAGTGCTATTTATATGCAATAACTTAAAAATCATATTTGCATCAATTATTAAACAAACAAAATAATTAAAGGTATGCAATCATTTCCGAATTTACTGTAATGTGTCTGCTTAGTGTGAAATATCTTCCTATAAAGTGTTACCTTGCGAACTAACATGTAAGAAATCTGGCTCAGAATGTCCAGCTAGAATAAAGCAAAACTAATATTCATAATGCATTAAAGGGGCACTAGCTACGAGATACATAAAAAATATAAAATAGGTTTTGTTCAAACATTAATGAAAGTGAAATAGTGGAATAATAATTCGCTTTTAGTAGCCAGTATGGTCGAATTTTGTCAAAATAAGCTAAGAAACATTGATGATGAATTATTCACTTGCAAGTGAATAATTCGACCTCATTGAATCCCTATTCATGTGAACTTCAATTTAACCCCTTAGCTAGAGATGGATAACGCATGAATTGTGTGCGTGTTTGATTATTTAAAGGAAAAGAATGTCAACATTGAAAGTGAAACAAAGGTAAATCATTTGATTGACTGATTCGATCCTCCAAAAAATCATTCTTACACAGGTAAAAATGATGATTAACATATATTTTTAATCTATAAATGAAATTAAATAGACCTAGAAGAATCCAATTCCACGAGTTCCGCTATCTATTTATATCTATATTTATGTTTATATCGCTAATATGGGCATCGGCAGTATTCGGGAGGTCAACTCGATAGTTAATTAGATGACGTCTAAACTAAAATACACACGAAACGAAGCTACATATTATGATGCCCATACCATGTACACTGTTTATTTTAGACTTTTTATAATTAAGATAAATGTTTTACATTGTTATAAAACAAATATGAGAATTTGAGTCACATCGGTGAACATGAATTTGACAGCTAGTGCCTTTTTAATATTTTCATGCCAAATATGCATTCACTCAGCCTCAGGGTGTTTAATAGCCATCTATGATCATCATCAAATATATTTACAATATATATTAAGAAGCTTTTATTATCATATAGCTTTATATTTAATAGTTTTATTCTTTTATTTACAGAGTCAAATAAAAGAACAGGTCATGGATAATTTAACTAATATTATCGATGAACTTTTGGAACCGTTTGATGGTCTCAGAGGAATAGCAGATAAATTTATGAAAAAATATGGTGCATTCTTTGGTATAGTTAAAAAAGTGAAAGAGGCATATGCAATTCTGAAGGAAGGGTATGTTTTATAACAACTACAGGCAATTTTTTTTTCTATACACCAGTGTTCTCCCCAGGCCGTTTTAGCGTCGCGACACCGAGGCGCTATATTTTTTTCCCCGTGATGCTATGGTAATTTCCGTGACGCTATAATTATTTTGAAGATGCTATTTTTCTTGTCCCCAAAACCATGTCCTAAATTTTGAACTTTCATCTAATTACCGCTTGTGGTCATAAAAATTATATCACCTTTAATTGTAATCCCTTAAAGTCGGACAATAGAGGCAATTTGAGTGATTAAATAGGTGTTAATTGCGCTTTGGGTGATAACTGTTTGGATACGAATACCCCAAGCTGAGACTTATGACATGACTAATACCACGTGGTCCAATTGCAAATTTCGACATTGAGAAATGTAATCAGAAAATCATAAACAATTCGAAATCTACGTTTGCATAATGTCAATTCAAAGATACAAACGATTTATCTCTTTAGAAAAGAGGTTTGGTCGTTTGTTTTTACAACTTTCAAAAATTTATTTTCTTTCCCTTCTGGTACTACTTGTTATTCGAGAGCGTATATTAAACATTTTAATTTTGAGCTAAATAAGTTTGATACTTCTTTAGAAAGTGATTCAGAATTGTCTTTAGTTAATGTTTCATCCATTTAATGCATTAAAAGCGTCATATTCATTCCCAATCTCTTGTCAAACATTGTTTATTTTCGTTAATTTTTCTTCGACCGCCATTGAAATATTTGTGTAAACCACGGATCGGAACTGGACCAGATATGACAAAAATCCGCATTTTTACGATAATAACTACAGATGCACAAATGGAAGAGTAGACAGAAAAAAATGACCCCAAAAGAGAAAACTAGGCATTCCACACGCATTAACAGACTATTTGTTAGATCTCCTTGCTATATGTATTCATTTTGGAAATGCATTGTTTCAATATACCGATTAAACTTTGTTAAAAATACATTTCATTTTGATATAAAGAAACAACTGGGACTAATACATTGAGTACCAAGAAATAATGAATTTCATAGACATGATAAAGAAATTAGTTTTTTAATTGAAATTTTATTGCTATATGATACTTTCTCTTCCTTTTTTAATATAAAAACCAGTTCTTTTTTTTTTTTTACTAGATATTTAGTTGGGTAGGTAGGGTACAATGTAACTGGAACCACACATATAATTTTTTTTGGCCCAAGAGGAAAAAAATAATTCTGTAACTATAAATTAATATAGAAAATATAAACTGAAACAACTGTTATAGTTTAAATGTATTCTCAGTTATCAATTAAACAATATAAACGTAACAAAAAGGAAATAGAGCATCGCCGCAACGCGACAAATGACATTGAAAAAAATATTTGTTCTCCCCAGAAATTTTGGATAGCATCACGCTATCCAAAATTTCTGGGGAGAACACTGTACACTATAAAAAGTATTTGCAAACATGAAAAAAAATTTAATAATTTTTATATTATATGATAATCTGGGGCAATACCCTACAGGGTAGTCTTCATTAACCCAAAATTAGATTAGAATAGAAGTCACATATGAATATGTCATAAAATACATGTATTAACGACACAATTTTAACATTATTTCAGTTATGAATTTGGACAGTCTATCATTAACACACTTTTTGGACCCAAATGCCACAAGGACTTTCCAAGATTGTACAGATTAGATGCAGGGCCTTGTAGTGGCAAAGGTTTTTATCCTTCAACGATGGGAAAATCTGGTCAAAAAGAATACGATGTAGAAGGGGTGGACATTGAAATTGATGTTGGAAAGATCGTAAGTATAATCTATTCAAATAAATGTGGGAAGATAGTAGAGAAAATTCCTATCATGTATGTCCTTTGATGTTGAATTGATGGTGATAATTAACCTTATTTGATGTTAAATGTATACTTGATGGTTTTTTGTAAAGTTAAAAATAATGTCATTATTTGAATTTAGTGAAAATGATGAACAAATTAAAACATTTTATTGTGATTTTAAATTGATATTTTTAACTTAAATTGAAAGTTCCCTTTACAATACAGAACCCTATTTTTGTATTTTTTATATTGCACAAGATTTACATTTTTATCAACAAATGTCAACTTAATTGACTCTTATTAATATATTTTATTTTTGGATATGAAAATTTCCATGAAGGTCTCGCACTGTTTGTAAAGTTATAGTATCATACACTATGCCCATGTTATATATGCTTACCCTTCTGCAACACCTGAGATCACCTTTAAGTTTTTTGTAGGGATCATGTTGCTTAGTCTTTAGTTTCTATGTTGTGTTCTGTGTTCTGTTACTACTGTTTGTCTTTTTGTCTTTTTCTTTTTTAGTTGTGGCATTGTCAGTTTATTATCAATTTATGAGTTTGAATGTCCCTCGGGTATCTTTCGCCCCTCTTTTATACTATTTTGTTTGTTACAGATATTTATTGTCTTTGCATACTTTGTGATTTTGAAATTATATTTTATTTGTTTTAATGTGAAATGTGTAAATTTCTTTAACTTACAGTTATAAATATTTGTTACAGGTGGTTGCTCCTTTTCCTGGAATTGTTTATAAGGGAGATAACCCTGATGAGGTAATCATTGAAGCAAACACGGCTGCCTTAAAGGGAATAAAGCTAATTGTAAACGGTGTTAATGTCAATAGGACTATTCTGCATCAAACAGACCAACTTTACATTGAAAACAGGGTAAGTTTTATTTGCTGATATGTTTGGACAAACTTATTTCCTTTAGGAGATTGCTCTGCTATATAGTATTATGATAGATTTGGCTGTATATTTGTTGTAAAATTAGTAAGAAATAATTTGGTGACAATTTGTATGCCCTCATCTTCAATAGAAGGTGACCTATCCTCATGTATTCTGAATTCCTGATAATTTCTCATAGCATTTTCTAAGAGCAATCTTCTCATATGTGTTTTGAAATTCCATCATTTGAATTTCTGTCTTAGTTCATACAAGTCCTTGAGATTGATTGATTAGTGGTAAACGCCACTTTCATCAATGTTGGCTATTTCGTGGTAGTCAGTGTTTATTGGTGATGGAAGTAGGAGAAAACCATCATCCTTTGGTAGGAAAAATAACAATCTTAGTCATTTAAGATTGGAGTTGATAGATAGATAGATAGATAGATAGATAGTTTATTCTCATAAAACCATGCAAGTACAAAGGTTACAAAGAAGTTAAAAACATGCATACAAAATATTAGATTTGATAACATAATATATATGCACACGTATAAAAATTGCGGTTTTTATCCAACGCAATCATAGGTTTGAACGTTGTTTTCAATTTAGAATATATATATATATATATATACAAGTCTAAATTGAAAACAACGTTCAAACCTATGATTGCGTTGGATAAAAATATATACTGTAAAAGCAGAAATTTTCGTGGAGGATTTAATTTCGTTTATTTCGTGGAAAGAATATATCCACGAAATTAAAACTCCCTCGAAAATTTAACCTAAATATAAGATCACTTACAAATACTGGAAACCACGAAATTAAATCCCCATGAAATCTTATATAGAGACAAAACCACGAAATTTTAACCCCACGAAAATTAATGTTTCTACAGTATATATAAAGTCTAAATTGAAAACAACGTTCAAACCTATGATTGCGTTGGATAAAAACCGCAATTTTTATACGTGTGCATGCAAAACAAATTTCTTGTCAGAGGGGTCTATTGCGTTGGATAAAAACTGCAATTTTTATACGGGTGCATGCAAAACAAATTTCTTGTTAGAGGGGTCTAAATACAGCACAAACAACATTTTCCAAAAGACCAAAAAAGTGAAAAAGTATATTTTAACAAAACGCATTTGACTTACAGGTCGAACAACAAATGTTCTTAAACCCTGCTGACTGCCATTGGCGATTGCCAAATAAACGGATCACCGATGTTATAAATGGATCTTAATTATAAATTTAATACTAAACAGAAAACAATAAACTTGCGGAAAAGATGGTATACCGCAAACAAAAGGTGCAATGGTTTTTATACGCCCGTCAAATTTTTGACGGGACGTATTATGGTATACAAATGTCGGGTGTCCGGCCGTCTGTCTGTCTGTCCGGTGTAAACATGTCGCACCGTAACTTGAGAATGACTTATCCAAATTTTATGAAACTTAAAATAGTTGTTTCTTATGATGGTCAAACGATCTGTATACTTTTTGGTGAAAATAAGATTAAAACTTTTTGAGTTACGGGACTTAGTAACTAAAACAGGTGTGTGTTTTTTTTCACATGTTGCGCCGTATCTCAAAAACAATTTATGATTATTGCTTAAAACTTTACACACTTCTTAGTTATATTAATCTTAAGATCTGTATACTTTTTGGTGATGATTCAAAATTTTATTTTAGAGATATTGAGTATTTTGTTAAAAAAGGGGGAGGGGTTTATCACATGTCGCACCGTATCTCAAAAACAGTTTATGATTATTGCTTAAAACTTTACACACTTCTTAGTTATACTAACCTTAAGATCTGTATACTTTTTGGTGATGATTCAATATTTTATTTTTGAGTTATTGAGTATTTTGTAAAAAAAGGGGGAGGGGTTTTTCACATGTCGCGCCGTATCTCAAAAACAATTTATGATTACTGCTTAAAATTTTACACACTTCTTAGTTATATTAATCTTAAGATCTGTATACTTTTTGGTTTTGATTCAAAATTTTATTTTTGAGATATTGATTTTTTTTTTTTTTAAAAAGAGGGGTTTTCACATGTCGCGCCGTATCTCAAAACCGATTTATGATTATTGCTTAAAATTTTACACACTTCTTAGTTATATTAATCTAAAGATCTGTATACTTTTTGGTTTTGATTCAAAATTTTATTTTAGAGATATTGAGTTTTTTGTAAAAAAAAAGGGGGTTTTCGCATGTCACGCCGTATGTCAGAAACTATTTATGCTTATTGCATAAAAATTCACACACAAGACGACGGGCGTATCATGCGCTCATGGCGCAGCTGT